TTTGAGATGGCTAGGTTGGCACAGGATAGAAGAGCGTATAGAGCTCTTGTACATAGGGTCACTATGAGTCGCAAACGACTCGATGGCACATAACAACAACAACTTTGTCTTTCCATGCTGCCTTTTGAATAGACATGGAAATTATACTAATAGGCAAAAGCATAAAAGTAGGTGCATTATAATAGGCTTATGAGTCCTGCTTAACCCAAAATGGCACTTCTCTGGTGGTTCGGGTTTATCAGTCACTCTGAAGAGGAACATGGTCAATCTTGTATGCAATACAGCCTCAGAAAACTTACTGCAAGATCAGCTGAATTTGTTCCAACTGGATAACTATACATTCGAGTTTGATGAGTGATCTTCATTGACAAAATATTTCTTCATATGTTGTTGTTAAGTGCTGTTGAATGGAGTATGACTCATAATGACCCTTTGAACAACAGGTCTGAACTCTGTCCTGTCCCGTCCTTATCATCCCTGACACAGTGGAGCCCATTGCTGCAGAAGACTCAGTCCATCTCACTCAAATTCTCCTATGGAGAATTTTAATTGGTTATGGTGAGAAGGGCATTGCTCTGGGGCCTGCTTAGCAAAGCAGTCCTGTAGGACTTTGTCTTAAGAATAATGAACTGCTCAAGTTCATCATGCATGAACATATTTAGACTTTTGCAAGTGAGATTGGCAGACTTTTAATTAGAACTGTGTTCTTAGTTGCCATCAAGTCTACTCTACTCTTACACCTAATGACCATGTGAACAACAGATCTGAACCTTGCCCTGTCCTGCACCATCTTCATGATTTCTGTCCTGCTCAAACCCACTGTCGCAAGCACTCTGTCAATCCATGTCATTGAGAGTCTTCTTCGCTTTTCCTAACCTTCTGCCTTTCCCAGTATGGTGCCTCTCACCAAAGAGTGATTCCTTCTGAAAATATGGACAAAGTAAGTGAGTCAAAGTTTCACCATCATTACCTCTAAGGAGCATTCTAGTTATACTAATTTTATTCATTGTCCAACTTTCAGATGCCTAGGAAACAAATGAAAATACCATGATTTAGATCAGGTGCACCTTAGTCTTTAAACTAATACTCTTTAGAACTTTGGACAGGTCCTTCACAGCAGATTCTTCAATACAGCATGTCTTTTGATTTCTTAACTGTTACTAACATGGGTGTTGTTTGTGGATCCAAGTGAAGTGAAGTAATTGATAACTTTAGTCATTTATCTGTCTACCTTAATGTTACCTGTTGGTCCATTGGTGAGAACTTTTATTTTCTTGATGTTGAGTTGCAATGTATATTGAAGGCTGTATTCTTTTATCTTCTGTAGTAAGTCCTTCGTTTTCACTTTCTGCAAGCAAGATTGTGTCATCTGCTAACAGTTTGTTGGTGAGTCTTCTAATCTTGATGCTACGTATTTCATATAATCAGATTCTAGAATTATTTGCTCAGCATATAGATTGAATAGGTATAGAAAAAGGATCAACCCTGACACACACCTTATCAGATCTTAAACCATACAGTGTTCTCTTGTTCTGTCTGAATAACTGCTTCTTAATCTATGTTTAAGTTTCTCATGAACACAATTAAATGTTCTGGAATTCCCTGCTTCTCAGTATTAGTCAGCATTTTTTATGATCCATACAGTCAAATACCTTTGCATAATTAATAAAGCACAAGTAAACATCTTTCTTGTCTTTCCTTCCTTTAGTCAACATGATGTCAGTAATGATAAACCCTTTTCCAAGAACTTTTCTGAATTCAGCTTGAATATCTGGCAGCTGCCTGTCAA